GCACCAAATCAGCTTCCCAGCTGAGCTGGGGGAAGCAAGTGCAGTCCTATATCAAGCCATTATTTATAAAACAAATATATTGTAGAAGCATCACTATATTTCTGTGAAATATTATTGGTCATCTATCTCATTAGACATTAAATAATATACATATATGAATTGAGTGTCTATAGCCAATATGGAAAGATGTATCTTCTTATTTCTATGTGTATCCTCAATTTGTTGTTACTACATTTGTTTGGGGGAAGAGAGTAACATAACTATTTTAGTTACACAAGACAAATAAACAGCTCATAGTAGAAAATGCACATTGATTTCTGTCTTGTAACCAGTGGTAGAATACAAAAGGTACAGAGATGGAACTTCTTATAAACAGAATACGACAGAATCTAACAAGTTTCAACACAGTGAAATGATTTATTTTAGACATGATTTAAAAATAATAATAATTACTTTTAGCAACAATAGTCCTGTCTAAGCCAGAAGCTATAAAAGGACCCTTACCAAACTGGTGCCCTTGTTATGTGTTCTACCACTTCTCCCATCGTCCACAACCAACATGCCAGTTGATCTTGTTGCCCGGGAATGATCACAGAACATTGACAAGGATACCAACCTACAGGAAGTCACCTGCAAGAACTTGCATGCCACCCAAAACATTTAGTAAGTCCATAAATTCCACTGATACAAATTCCATTTATTTGCAATCCAAACAAATAATCAGAGTGAACTTTATAAAATGATAGTCAATGGCAAGTCATAAAGTTGGAAAAGAATCTACAATGACAGATGCATTCCAGTGTTTTCTGCATGAAGAGTGTTTTGAGTTTGCATCACTAGCATTTAATATTGACTTTGGCACACTCTCAAATGTGCTGTTGTCATGGGAAAATACTATAGAATGTAGAATATAAGCATATATATATATATAGTCTGCAGATAACCCTTATTGAATAATCTCAGAATTCTGATCAATCATACAATTGTTGGATCAAGAATTCTGACACCTGAACATGTCCCTAAGAGATCTATAGAGCTTTATAAACATCTAGGGAAAGATCAGAAGCCTATGTATATCACAGCTATTTAACCCTAAGAAGGGTTAGTTCCAGAATGAAACCAAACAATCCCTGAACAATCATATTAAAATTAATTTGAGTATCAGGGTACAAATTTTTTCAAGACTGCAATAATTCCACGCAGCATCAGCTTGTCTAATTCTGCATTGCTTCTATGTTCCATATGAACAAATACTTCAGAGTAACAAACTGAAATGTACTGAAAACATTCTTACAGTTCTGAGAAAAAACATAGGCACAAATACTTAAAAATACACCCTTGCAACTTTTGAAGTTACAGGTGTGATTGCCATCAAAAATTATTACAGTTATGAGAAGTTGCAAACAAAAATATATTCAAAGACAAAACTGAAGTCGTAGGCAAAATTTAAATCATGTTTCAAAATTATAAGAGCATACATTCTGAAAAGGCAAAAGCATATAGCCTATAAAAGCACATTGGGAAAGCTAATACATCTCTTAAAATACTATCTTTCTTATGAATGAAAAATGACTTTCTTAGCCTTTAAGCAGAAAAATTCTAAATAATATTCTTACCCAGCCACACCAGTTTTCTGACAGTTTGCATCTGTAGAGGGACATCCATGATAATTGTTCTTGGTATCCAATGTGTGTGGCATAGTATGAAGTTGCACTACTGTTTTGTATTGAATTCTTGTGTGTGTGTTGTTTCTCCCTATATTTATAATTCCTTTAGTGGTTTACACCTCCCCCCAATCTGTAAACAATGTCTTTTCTAGGGGCCTGGAGATCCAAGAAAAAAATTCCAATAGGAAATTGTATTGTTCTTGAAGAGAGTATAACTCCAGAAGTTTGTAACACAAGATCTGGCAAGCTGCCACTATGATAACATCATTGTTTCATCTACAATTCTACAAATTCTAGAGGAATAGGATAAAGCATTTCATGCTCAAGGATATTGTAACTCCTGTGTCCTGGAACACCATAATATTGTGGCTCCAAGGTACTGGAACTACAAAGAATGCAAGTTATAGGACCTGCAAACTCCACCTCCATATTTACACATTGCAACATAAACAGATTCAGCAGTCAGGAATGTTATTGTTCAGTAACTTTGCTTGGAAGGAAAACTGGCCAATTGTTTTGAAATGTCTATAGTAAACTATTATTCAAGCCCCAATTTTAAAAGCTGTTTCATTTTCAGGGGTGCTCTTATATACCCCTCTAATAATTCTAGCACTTTATGCACATAAACTTTCAAACCTTGACGCAAACAGGGTAGCAGCAGTAATTTTAACACTAAATTGTGACTGGCATGGTCAAATCTTGTGTCTCCCTGTCTAGTGCCATCTTTCTTTATATAAAGGTGATTCAACCTTATCAATCTGCAAAATATCATCAGGAAGGGAAAAAAAAGGCTGGAGCTAGCACATTTGCACAATTGGGAAAGGAGTACGACAAGGCTGTATATTGTCCCCCAGCTTATTCAACTTATATGCAGAATACATCATGCGGAAGGCTGGACTGGAGGAATCCCAAGCCGGAATTAAGATTGCCGGAAGAAATATCAACCTCCGATATGCAGATGACACCACTCTGATGGCAGAAAGTGAGGAGGAATTAAAGAACCTTGTAATGAGAGTGAAAGAGGAGAGTGCAAAAAACGGTCTGAAACTCAACATCAAAAAAACTAAGATCATGGCCACTGGTCCCATCACCTCCTGGGAAATAGAAGGGGAAGATATGGAGGCAGTGTCAAATTTTATCTTCCTGGGCTCAATGATCACTGCAGATGGAGACAGCAGCCCTGAAATTAAAAGACGCCTTCTTCTTGGGAGGAAAGCGATGACAAATCTGGACAGCATATTGAAAAGCAGAGACATCACCTTGCCAACAAAAGTCCGAATAGTCAAAGCTATGGTTTTTCCTGTCGTGATATATGGAAGTGAGAGCTGGACCATAAAGAAAGCAGACCGCCGAAGAATTGATGCCTTTGAACTGTGGTGCTGGAGGAGGCTCTTGAGAATCCCCTGGACTGCAAGGAGAACAAACCTATCAGTTCTAAAGGAAATCAACCCTGAATGCTCACTTGAAGGACAGATTTGCGCCCACATTTTATCACCAACAACTTACAGAGAAACTATAAAGATATCACAAATTATGTTGGCACCCCCTTTACAGAAATGGCCATAGGATAAATATGCCATGATCACTGGTCAGTTTCATAGTGTTGCCAATCTAGGTGGCTTGTATAGGACTGAAGGGAAAAAAAGCAAAAAGAAGAAGAAGAAGAAGGAGAAGGAGAAGGAGAAGGAGAAGGAGAAGGAGAAGGGGAGGAGGAGAGGAAGAAGATCTGAATCCTGATGGTTTATATCTAAAACAAGTGGCATTCATTGAGTTAAAGAAGGAATTTAGGTCCCGTGAAACCCAGAGCTTAAAAACTGCCATTAGAAAATAATTTGTTGATTATTTCTCTGACTTCTTAATGGCTAGTTACTGTTACAGTATAATCTGAAAAGTAATTATTTACTAAACTGTCTTTCAGAGTTGGCTCAAAAATTTGCTTTTAAGATACTTTATTATTATTTTTTAAATCTTAATGCTACAAGCTGCAGACCTATGGTATAGATGAACCTCCTCTCTCCCGCCTGTTTATTACATTAACAGCCACGATAGAGCACAAATTAAGAACTATATATTTTGCTTCAGTTTCCACAATGACAAAAGTAGTTAGTTACTATTAACCTACAAAATTAGAGAAGCTATCTTTTTAAGTTACACTGGTGTAAGAATATATCCAGCTTTGTATTACGCAGGATCTTCTATTGCACAGAATGAAAAAGTTACTCATTTCCCTCAAATGTTGAAAATTCTGTGATAAGAGTTACCGTACTTTTCCATGTATGAGACAATACTTTTGTCTAAAATTTTTAGACTAAAAAATGAGGGTCATCTTATACATAGACGTAAGCTGAGAAGAGAACTGCGCAATATGCAAAACTGTTCATACCTGGCCTCTGCAAATAGGCTTCCTCCAATCACTGAGATTTAGCTTTCTACAATCAGGAGACTTACCTTCCTCCAATCATGAGCCTTATGAAATGACATCAGCTGATGCTGAACAAACTAATTGGAACACACCTTGTTGGAGGTGGAGCATGTAGGCAGTGCTCAGATGCAGCAGGGACAGTACTGGTATGTAAATGTTACCTAATTATTAAATAAAAATGTATTCTGTTTTATGTTTGAAATATTAATTTCTTAATTTGGGGTAGAAAAGTGGGGTCTTATACACAGGGGCATCTTATACACAGAAAAATACAGTAAATTGAACTGACAATCTTGTACACTTCACACACCTTAAAACAATGCAAAAAATATATATGCTGTGACCTGATGTGTTTCTCTACAAAGCCCCTTCTAGTTTTGACTGAAAATTTAGGCCTAATTAATAGTCAGCAATTGATGTGGTGGCGCTGCGGGATAAACCGCAGAAGCCTTTGTGTGCTGCAGGGTCGGAAGACCAGCAGTCGTAAGATTGAATCCACGCGACGGAGTAAGTGCGCATCGCTTGTCCCAGCTCCCGCCAACCTAGCGGTTCGAAAGGATGCAAATGCAAGTAGATAAATAGGGACCACCTTGGTGGGAAGGTAACAGCGTTCCGTGTCTAAGTCACACTGGTCATATGACCATGGAAGATTGTCTTCGGACAAACGCTGGCTCTACGGCTTGGAAACGGGGATGAGCACCGCCGCCTAGAGTTGAACACGACTGGACAAAAATTGTCAAGGGGAACCTATACCTTTACCTAATAGTCAGCACAAAACTCACAGATCCTCTAACAAACATAGATCTTTGTGAAGACTGTGGTGCAAGGTATTGAGAAGTGACAGCCATAACCTGAAGAGTTGCTGATATTGTATCTGCATTTCATCCTGACATGTCCTTCTATAACTTCTTCAATCTCTATTCTTCTTGCATTGTGATCACCCAAGAAAATAGATTGCAGTTTGGACTGCTGGTTAAATTACAACTGTAATGTGGTATAATTCTCTCATAGTTTTTGAAGAAAAGTATTATAAGTACTTATCTTTGGTTAATTTCCAACTCTTGTGAAACCATAAAGAATTTGAGCTAGACACTCACTTACAGGACATGCCAGTCAAAAAGATAGGAAATACAATAATTTTATTCTCTCAAATGGGAACAGTGCACTAAAAATAATGTCCTAACCCTCTCCTGGTACAATTAAAGTTAAGTGCCTTCTAGTGACTAAAATACGCAAGGGCAGTATTCACAGAAATATCTTACAAGCATTGAAACACATCTGGTTATCTCCTGCTACCCAGTCCTATGGTTTCTCCTGGATGTTTTAAATGATGCCCTTATTACATTCTTCTCCAGAATCAGTGTGTGTTTCTGCTGCTCTCATCAGGACAAATCTATGTGAGGTATCATCATTATTACCAGAAAGAAAATGAAATGCCATTGGTGTGGGTTGTATTTGAAAACTGTGATTTAAACACGCAAGAGCAAAGAAATTCAGAGTCAAGGGTACAGTGACCTTTGAACTTACGAATATTAGCATAATGATGAGTCTTACAAAAACACCATCCTCATGTGAATAATACACAGAAGAAATTAATCACTCCAAGCAAAGTCTGAAAGGGGATTGTTCTCCAGTCGTTCCTGAATTTCACAACAGCATACATTGATAGGAAGATCTCTGCTTTGCAGAGTCGATGTTGCCTTTATGTAGAACAGTGCCTGCAAGAGTGTACGTGGGCAATGACTGCTTGAGATGGAGAAGGTTGATGTCCACGCTTCCCAGGACCTCTGCTTTGTGTGCTTCTTCCTTTAATCCACATAATGCCATCTGGACCTCAAGATTCGCTGTCACTGTGTGGACAGTATTTTACAAAAATCATTAACTTGCATCTCAGCATTTGAGAATTGTAGTATTTTCTGAGAACCTGCCTAACCATATTGTCTCTTTTGTGGTTCACTCTTGGCCTGCAGTATATAGCCGAGGCCATAAACAGTGCCATTTTATGGACATTAAATGAGAAAGTGATGATATGTATCTGCATTTGACTAACTTCCACCGGTGTAAGAATATAACAAAACATTGTATTGTGCAGACTCTTCTATTGCACAGAATGAAAAAGTTACTTGTTTCCCTCAAATGCTGGAAATTCTGTGATAAAAGCAAAATTGAACTGGCAGTCTTCTACATTCACACACATTAAAACTATAAAAACTGTTATTGCTTTTTATCTGTTTTTCCACAAAGCCCCGTCTGGTTTTGCTAACAAATTAAAGTTGAGTAAAGACTGGAGAGCTTCCTTCTTCAATCTTTACTCTTATTAGGATGTGATCACACTGGAAAATAGATCACAATTCCGACCACCCGTGGAGTAGCCTGGTACAATCTATCTCCCAGTGATCACACGATGCTGCAGCCCACGCTCGACCCATGCCCAAGCTGGACGTTTTGGGTCTAGTTTTAGGGTTTCTGCATTTGGGGACCAGGCTGGAGCAGTTCCCCAGCAGACAGAAGGGTCGCTTTAAGGGAGATCACTCCTGTTAAAGCAACTCTTTCCAGTGCAATCTGTCATGTGCCTTTGCAGCTGTCTGATCACACCTTAACTTCCTTCCTTTCCTACATTCTTCCCTTAACCCAGTCTGTCTGACTGTCTATAATGTCTAGTGTCAGCAACCTGATACAGTGATTTTCTCTCACCAGGACCTCTTTGTGCATTTTGGCCCCACATTTACATAATCTCAGGAGCTAGCATAGCTTTTTATAGGATGCTCTCAAGAGTCCATCATGAACCTAGGCGGCACAACTATTCCATACTGGGGATAGAGGGTGGCCAGACAGAATATAGTTTTGGATTTGCTGAAAATGGATGGTAAAGAGTTTTGGCTGGCATTTATACCACACGGACAAAAAAGGGCTTCCCTTCCCCCTAAATCATGATGCTGAAACAAAGAAAAGTGGGTGGAAAATCACAACAATATATATATTTCTGAGCCTCAGTATCCTCAGATGCTTATATGGAACACATTACTTGTCATTCCTTAAAACAGCAATTTTGAAAGTTGTCTGGCTGTGATTGAGCTGTCTTTTATCTTTCAGCCAGAGCTTTAGAAATTATGTTTTTGGATAAGCAATTTTTGAAAGTTGTCTGGCTGGGATTGAGCTGTCTTTTATCTTTCAGCCGCTGCCAGAGCTTTAGAAATTATGTTTTTGGATGGCAACTCCCAAGACTCCCACCACCACAAGCATGATAACTTGGAGGATCCTGGAGATTTTGTTCAAAAAAACTAATTTTTCCAAGCTCATATCCAATATGATATGACTGGCCTTCACTAGATTTTTGTGCAGTTCCAATGGGGAGTATAAGAATGTACTAAAAATCCCGAGTTGTAGTAAATGTAAGTGCAGCTTTTTACTGGCAAGTTTTACCAGTGTATAGCTAATGGAGCATCATTTTAAGAAGGCTCAGTACCCCAAATCACCATTTGGGGTCTAGCTTTGCCACTCTGATCTACTAGTTTGTGCCTTGCTCCAGCCTATGAGTCTTGGTCTTCTAGAAACAAAATCCAAAGTAGATCCCAGAAATTTGAAATATAACCCAATTTAATCCCTGCCGCTGAACTAGTTATAGCAGACTTGAACAGTTTGCTTCAGAAATGACTGTTTAGCAAATCATTGTCTGTCTCAAATGAGTACTATTTACTATTTATTTTAATTACTTTTAAAATATTCCACTTCTATCATAGTAAAGGAACTCAAGGTGGTAAAAAAACAGCTTAAAAGTACATATGTTTAAAATCACGGTAAATTAAGATATTAATATTAATAGTAAAATACAATTAAACAATGTTAAAACATCGCTGGTTAAAACAAATATAAAACACATGATAATAAAAGATATGCCGCTTCCCTTACTCAAAATTTCAATCCTGCAAGGGCATTCAGAATTCAAAAGCCAGATTCAAAAGGAAGGTTTTCACCAATCCAGCCTCACATGAGAGGGAATTCCATAGACTAGAAGCAACCAACTGCTGATCCAACTGCTTATACTGAAATTCTTTGAAATTACACTACAAAAATGGCAGAACCATTGCCTCCTAGAAGACTTTACTGAGACACCTTTGTTCTTTCATCTCACATTAGCAAACTTTTAGGTGTGCTCATTTTCATGAGCATCTCTTTGTACCTTGCATCATATCAAAACATAGACCTGGTCCGTTCTTCATGATAAAGAAGAGACATTGGCCTGCCCTGTTATCATTCATAATAAAGCAGAGCCACCTAGTGGTTACACTTACACTTCCTCTTTCCACCTCCCACTGACTCCCATCCACCTAGTTTGCTCTTTGGCCTAGAGAGCTGGAGAGTGACGAGTCTACATTTTGCACTGACTTCTTGGACCACTGAGACTGAAGTAGGAGGGTAAATTCAAGCCCTACTCTTTTCCCCAGAACACAGTGACATCTTCAATCCCCCTAAGGACTTTTGTGGCTTGTGAGAGGCATATAGCTCAAGGACAACATTCACCAGGGAATAATTAGGAGGGGACTAAAGGGAGGTCCATGGTTCTATTCTTAGATGAACTCAAGATGTGATCAAAAACAAAGGTTATATATTTAAGAGCATTTAAGAGCATATTTAAGAACATTTGCCTTTTTTGGACTTCATCATAACTGTGATCATAAAGAATCACCATTTTCTTGTTAATTTAAAGTGTGGCTACAGTTTCTATAGGTCCTTACCTATGTTGGGTGGGATAATAGATTATGTAGACCAGAACATATGGTGGGCCAGAAGTTCCCTATTTCTGGTTTAAGACAAAGGGATTTGTGTCTTCAAATTCTATGCAGCCTACTCCATAGTTTCATTTCATTCATTTCCTACAATAGTCACCCAGGATGCACAGACCCAGTGAGCTGGGCAGAAATACAATTAGTCCTGAGGACCAGTCGCCCCTGAGAAGACCTTGAATTTGTGATGGTGAATTCCATTATCATTCTCACCAAAACAATTAATAAACTCTCACTTCTCTGTATTCTGATAATAATTGATTAATAAATCTATCCTGGTGATAGGGAACTTGTTGCCCTCCAGATGTTCTGAGCCAGAATTCCCATAACCTCTGCCATTGGCCAATGGCCATACTGTTTGTGGCACACAGAAGCTGTTGTCCAAGCCATTTACAACACCTCTCCGATTCTGTATTGTAGGCAACAAAGCAATGTTCTTCAACATAAAAGAAGCAAAGCAGATTTCAGAGTCGACTTCCATGACAGAGAAGGAGAGGTCACGGGTCCTAAGGGCCTATTGAGGTTGAGATCCCCTTTCAGAAGTATAACTGGGGAATTACAAGTACCTTAGGTTGGCAGTGCAGTCTTTTTCTTCTTTCACAGGAGGCAAATATTCACATTCTGCTAAAAAAAGATTGGAGACGGTGAAAGTATTAGCCCTGGGAATTTTAAGAATGTCTGCTCAATTCGAATAGCAATGACCACACAGTGGACTCCTGCAGGACATGGACATATTTTATTTTTAATATTATGTCTGCAGCCATCAGCCCTTTTTAAACCCCCTGTGAATATGTTAGAAGCCATAGTAACCTTTCCTTTATTTATTTCAGTGCATTCTCTAGATATAAACAGTGCCCATCTCTAACACTTTGCTTTTGTCATCAGCTAAAAATAAAATGGATAATAATAAATGGCCCAGCATACAATCATTTATTGTCACATCTGTTATTCTGCTGGATTACCAGCTGGTGAGTTTGGGTGTTGTTATCCTTTTCATGCTGTTGCCAGGTAGCACCCATCAAGTATTGTCAAGTCGGTCATGCACACCCAGCTTTGAAAACCACTGGGAAGGTCAATGCCTGACCCCACATAGAAAGACTGTCTGTGTATTTTGCCAAATACCTGGAGGTGAAGCTTAGTGCAACAGATAAAAGATTGCACAGGCAACCTACTATGTGGGGCAGAGGATATTAGCACTAAAAAGTAAGCTAAAGATGGTTCTTTCTGGGGAAGGAATTCAAAAGGTTTGCCACTGGTTGAAAAGCAGGACTGAGTTCCTATTACTGAACAAGACACCATGGAAGATTCATGGAAAGGCCCTGAAACTTTTATTTTTTCTGAACATAATTCTCCTGAGGAGTTGGGTATTTTCCACACTACCATACATGTCTTAGGGTACAGGGAGCAGTTCAGGCTGGCGAGGAAAGGTTCTTGCCTCTGTGCCAAGAGATTGGACTTAGTTAATTCAGTTCTTCAATGGAATTCAGTTCTTAAAAATACCTCTGGTTTATAACTGTGGGATATTGGGCTTCTGAGCTCGCAGTTCAAAAATCCAGGAAATGGCATGATATTGCTACATAATGTTGTGCCGAGAAGAAAAAAGATTCCAAGTTTTACATAGCAGGGATGGGGACTTGAGTCATGGGACTTGCTGTCAAGTCAGACTTAAGTCACACCAGTGACTTGACTTGATTTTTTTTCCAAGGACTCAGACTCAGCTCATGACTTGACACTTTAATAGGTGATTCAGACTTGGGGTTTGGGACTCGGGACTTGGTACCAAAGAGTCATACTCGGGCTTGGGACTCGGACCCAAAGACTTGCCAACATCCCGTTACATAGCAAAAAGCAGCCTGAATATTGAAAACACCAATGGGTGGAGCTGCTTTCTTGTAAGAGTAGCCTGATATCTGCATAGTCACACATAACACGTGTGGCACCATGTGCAGGCTTCCCCTTTCTCAGCATGTCTTTTATATATACAGTGGTACCTCGCTTAACATCGATAATCAGTTCCAGGAAAATTGCCGTTAAGCGAAAACATCGTAAAGCGAAAATAAAAAGCCCATTGAAACACATTGAAAACCTTTCAATGGGTTCCAATGGGCTTAAAACTCACAGTCCAGTGAAGATCCTCTATACGGCGGCCATTTTCACTGCCTGTATAGCAAGGAATCTGTCCCTAAACACAGCGGGGAGCTATTTTATTTACCCAGCGGCCATTTTGAAACCGCCGATCAGCTGTTGAAAAATCATTGTTTTGCGAAGAATTGGTTCCCGAAGCAGGGAACCGATCATCGCAAAGCGAAATTCCCCCATTTAGACCATGGTTTTGCGATCTCAAAAAGATCGTCGTACAGCGATTTCATCGTAATGCGGGACAATTGTTAAGCGAGGCAGCACTGTAATCTGAGCTAGGTTCCGGCTATACATGGTTTTTAGAATCTTCCACTAAATATTACTTAATTCTTCCCAACAGATGCCCATAGAATATGCTTTACTGGGGAAAGGTGAGAAAGTGACTTTCCAAGGATACCTGATGAATTAACACCTCACTTCTGATGTTGGAATTAAACTCATGTTTCTCATGTTCCAAGACAATATTCCATACCAGGGTTAAAAAAACTTGTAGCCTGCCATGTGTTGCTGAACTCTAATTTTGATCACCTTCAATACTGATTATAATGACAAGGGCTGATGGGACGTGGTTGAACAACATCCAAAAAAACTGTGCATTCTCCACATTTCTTCTATACACGAAGGCTTGGAGACATTACTTTCCAGAGCTCCTCAGTAAGAATGGCTACGGGCTATGCTGGTGAGGGGATTCTTTGCCTACGTACTGTAGATTTTACAATCTTTCCAACACTTATGTTTTCTCTTTCCCAAACGCCAAACATTTTGTGACTTTCTTGGACAAATAAGCTGAAACCACATTCTGGGAGCAGAATAATTTGATTTAACACACAGTAGTTGAGGTAAACATGGATGACGATGAGAATGAGCAGCCGGGAAGCACAGCAATAAAAGTAATTTGGACATGTTCAGTTCTCTTCTAGTTTGGACAATAATCCCAACTTGTCATCTGTTTAAAAAAGAAACAATGTGTTTTATTCCAGATAGTGAAGGGTAAAAAAACATTGGCAGGAAAGGAGCAATGTGGTCATAGCAACACATCGGAAAGATGATCCTGGAGGCAGTGCTGAAGAGAAGACACTAAGAGCCATGAGTCAACAATGAGGAAGCATATTACAAATTAATACCAACCTCTGTGCCTGCTTTCTGTCAGAACACATGCCAGTCTCAAGAGAGAGATTTAAAATATCACAAACACATTGTCAAAATAAAACCATAGAATCTAAATGAACACTTTTGCTGTTTAAAAATATGAATCTTCCCATAGCTAGAGTAATTCTTTTCCTGCCATTTGCTTCTCTGACTATTTTAGCATTTCAGAATATGAACTAAAATATGTCTTAGAACTCTCAGCCAAGGCAAAGAGGTGGGGAAGGGGACAGAGATATAAGAAATGAAAAAGGTCTGAGAATAGAATAGGGTAAATACCAACCATTTCGTTTTAAGCTGTTCATCCATTTATCAAGTTCTTCCATCTCTATTTCCATAACAGAGGGTGTGTCCTCTTCAAAGATGGGACTAAAGAAGCAAACAGAAATATATTTTGAACCATGTAGTTTTAAATTGTTTGCATTCAGGCAGAGATTTTCAATTCCATTTTTATAATTAGCTGTATATTACCTCATTTATTTGCATCTTTACCTGCCAGTGAACATGCTGGCTGGAAGAACTGACTTTATATTAAGACCATGGTTCCCAGCCTTGGGTAATCCAGGTGTTCTTGGACAGCACATCCCAGAAGCCTTCACTACCAACTGTGCTGGCAAGGTTTTCTAGGAGTCACCGTCCAAGAACACCTGAGTTACCCAAGGTGGGGAACCACTGTATCAAAAGACTGATATTAGACTTGAGGATTTGATTTTGGAGGATTCAATTATGGAATGGGATTAGATTTTCAATGACGGCACCTAGAAGTCCTATAGCTGGTGGATTTGATTCTGAGTGTCGTAATACAAAAGAAAAAATAACTTCTCCAAAGTTCATTTCCAGTAATAATGGAACTAAACCAAGAAGGCAGGAATGAAGGTCTGCAAGTAGCTTTGAGATGCCTTTGGTGGTGGAAAGTGGGTCATGCTTTTAGAAAATGAATGAAATCAATTTATTTGATATCGTGATGGCATCAATTAGTCAGTAAATTGGTTGGAAATTGGATCCAATTAGATGGGAAATATCTGTGTAATGCATCTATCTCACCCTCAAGAACCAGACAATTTGTAGTCATAGTAAAGAACACAGGAGTCAGACCGCTGGTCTATCTAGCTCAGCATTGCCAAATTTGATGGGTAACATCTCTCCAGGGTTTCAAACCTGATTATTTCCCAGTCCTACCTGGAGATGCTGAGAATCAGGGACCTTCTCATCAAAACAGGTGTTCTATTATTCAGCTGTGGTTCCAGTCAATACAGCACCTGGTATTTCCTAGTGCCCCCCCATTCAAATATAACCAGGCCTGACCCTGCTTTTCTCCCCAGATCAGAGGAGACTAGGCACATTCAGGTGGTATTCTGGAGTCAATGTGCCTCTTAGCTATTAAAAAAAACACCATAAGCCCTCAGCAACTGAGATGGGAGTCTATTACATATGAAATAACACAAAACAATTCTGTAAATCTCCTTACCTTTTGCAGTTTTCACTTCCAAGTTCATCTGAAATGAAATTGAATATTCTTAGGAAAAAAGAAAGGTGGGAGTTTGAAAAGACAACAGCTATATAGCTTTCCAAGCAGTCGGGTGAGGAGGAATTATTTCTCGTGGCCTCAGGCACATTATAAGACAGCCCACATAATACTCTTCAAATACTGTGTCTTCAGCCCAGAAATAATTGCACATAGGCAGCATGAGCCTTGAGGCAATATGTATTTCCCTGCTTCAAAAAGCAGCAGTGAAAACCATTTTCCCCTTTAAAGTACTGTGGTTCCATAGCATCTCTTTCAGCAGGCTCAAGGCCATTCCTTTTGAGCAATTGTCCTCTGTAGTACAAAGCAAACTGGAACAGGAATACAATCAAATTCCCTGGTTCCCAAAGTCCCTCTGAGTCAAGAACAGAGCTGCATCTGCCACCCAGACAGTCCTCAAATCCTAACCCAGTCTTTGATTTGGTAGGAAGGGTTTTTCTAACCACCAGTTTCAAAGAAAGGTTGTATCACCAGCTCTTCTAACTTCTGTATCAGGAAGCAGGAGGAGGTACCATCTTACCCTTTCTCTCAAACGGCAAAATGGCTTGGGTGGGCCCTGGTGGACTGCTTCCACAGACCTGTTTTCCTGCTTGTCCTTCTAATGCAGGCACACATCCTGTGGGGAAGTGCATCGCAGAGATCTGCACACTAGTCCACACTTCCTGTGCCTTCATCCAGCCTACTTGGTGCTTCAGAAGTTCCAAGAACTAGTTGTATGACACAGAGGAAAGAGCCAGATGGACCACCTGGTTCCTGAAATCTGCACTTAAATTGATCCATTCACATTGGTGGTGACCAGAGACACCCTTCCCATTAGGCACCTCTAGTGCAGATGCGGGGGAGGAGTACAGAAGTGGCAGCATTTTGGGAGACAGATTTCTATGTGTGTTGTAACCTGCCCTGAACTGTCAAAGTTAGCCTTCAGTTCTTAGATACAGCAGTTATTCCTCTCTTGTGGCCAGGGATCAAATAAGCGGCCATCTGAGCTGGCTTCCAGAGGGGAAACCGTCTTGTCTTTACCTCAGTCAGCAAAATGTCTGGGGCCAGTCTTGGTAGTGTCAGGAAAACAAGGCTCCCTACTCAGTCCTACAGGGCTGTTCTATCCAAATGCAAAGTATCTGTTCTTAGGTAGATCCTTCACTTCTGAACAATTACCTGTATTTATTAGAATATGGAAAAATAGTTTGGAATTACATCCTTCCTTTGTATAGATGACTGGACCATACAAGGTAATTTAAAAAAATGACACATGTAGAAGGCTGAAGTATTGTGAAGAGATACATAAAAAGGATATTTAAGCCCAAATTGAAATTAGTAACTGTGGTAAATTTAAGAAGCTGACTGCAGCTTAAATGCATTAATATTCAGAACATGGCAGAAAACAGGAGACTGGAAGCAGTACATTCCTTGAGGCTAGCAGGTTCCAACAGCGAAGGCAACATAATGAAAAGTCAACAGTCACCATAAAAACTGTTTACTTCAACATCACCTAATGCCATACATCTGCAGTGCGCCTGTTTCATGAACAGAGGCTGTATGAGATTGCAGATAAGGGGCAAGTTTTCAAAAACATGCAAACACCACAAACCTGGGGAGGATTGGAAAGCATTTGAAATCACAGAGCAGCAGAGGAAAATAAATAAAGTAGAGAATAACTGACAGGAACCGCATAGGTGGAATAAACACCAGATAGGATAAATACAGAAAACTCACATTCATTGGCAACTAGGAGGCAGTATTAATGAGGGCAACCGTTTTAGAGAAACAGAAGGGATATGCGTATTTTATACCTATGAGGCTATCTGAGGATAGAAAAGGGGTTTTTGTTTGTTTGCTTTCTGTTTTTTAAATAAACTGAGTACAGCTTTTCCCAGCTGAAAAATTCCCCGCCATTTTCCTTTGTTTATTTTGCTGCGATATATCTGGAATGTAGGAAAAAAATTCAATGCACGGCACAAGGATAAAGAAAAGCAGTTAGTTCATTGTGTGTTTCATTTACATGGTCATCTGAAGATGGCCTTGTGTCATTCCATTAATTTGAAGGTCTAAAAAGACCTCACTGCACTGTTGTATAGGTCTGTAACTGGAGTCCAACAGATGCCACAGGCTTTAATGCAGTCTCTCCTATAACCTGTGGTTTAAAATCTTTTTGAAAGTAGGCTTTGCCCAGATCTTGGAAAAGGTACTATTCTAGATGACACAAAGGTATTACTGGGAGGGTTGTACTACAAGTCCCAGAATCCCAGAGGCAGCATGATCTGTAGTACAAAATCCTGTTTACTTCTAACAAATTGGGAAAAGTGCATTTTTGGACTACATAATATAATTCTATATGTTTTTGGTCATGCTGCCTGAGGGATTTTGAGAACTTTAGCCCCCGTGATCTTTTTAATTTCATTTAATGAGAGTACTAATTAGGGAAAGAGGAGAAGAGTGTAACAGAAAATACAACTCAAGTATTTGCTAGTATTATACATTTTCCCTGAGGGACTGAAGATATAGTGGGAGTTAGATAATGGCTAAATTCCTGTTGTGCAGTTACACAAATGGTGTAACATTTAGACTTGAACTGCTGTTAAGTCAATAAATATCCATATATACGTTATCTGTTGCATACTGTGTCATATGACTTGGTGTGCAACAGATAATATCTACAGAGATGTCTTCACTTATGGCAACTTGTGTCTAAAAGTAACACTAACTGTGCAACAGGATTTTAGCCAATATGTGTGCAAAACGTCAGAATATTTTAATGTCTCGTATCTGTGTGCATCCAATTGTCATCAAAAGTCATTCCTATATTATTGGTCCTTAATGCCTTAGAATGTACTTTCCAAAGACTTTGCCTACATTCACTTCCAGTTGTGTAGTATGACAGAAGTGTCACAAAGGGAAACATCTGGATTCTTGGACTGTGTTGCTCTTTGAGTGCAGGGTGGATAATCTCAGCACAAACCGGGGCCATTTTTCAGATGACCTGGCAGGCCAAGGGGAAAGAGGACAAAGGGGCTAATTTGCATCTTATTTTTATTTTTGCTGCTTAAGAAAGGAAGTTGTCTTTTTTAAGGTTAAACTGAAAAAGCAAAACCTAGCCAGATCAGCAGAGACACCTATAGATAAGTCAAAATGTCCATCTAATTCCATGGCTTTTTTTCGAGGCCGGCAAAGTGTCACATACATAGTGGAGGGATCACTGAATCGCATGGAAAAATATTCATTCTGCAGTGGTAACGGGGGTCAGGGGTGGGGGCTAAGAGAAAAAAAATGAAAAAATGAGGTAATCTGAAACAGAAAAGGAACATATTATGTTTCTAATGATTAAAGTAGCTTGTACTGTTACCTTGAGTGTCAGAGAAAGTCTCAAGTTAATTTCCTCCTTCTGTTTACCATCATCATAAGTAGCTTGGAAGTTAAGGAGAACAGATGTGATTCTATTACCTTTCATGTTCTCTTTGCTCAGCTGCCAAACAACTAAAAATCTGCTCCCCGGTATACTTTGAATTTTGCATTACTTATTTACTCAGTAAATATCCTTTTTTAAATCTTGAAATTCTTGAATCTTACACATACCATTTTGGAGTTACATTTTAGTGGGAGGGAGAGGGGGGAGAGAGAGAGAGAGAATCTAATGGAAAAAGAAGGGCTGATGCTTTTTTTACTTTGTTGAGAGGCAAAAAAAGGAACCCAAACACTGGATCTCTGCCCAGATTATACTGAGAAAGAAAGTCAGTGGGTATCCTGAGGAAACAACAGCACTTTAAAAGCATCTTTAAGAAAAGAAAATACTCGTAGAAGCATAAATTGCTAGCTGGCTTAATCAGAGATTCCCTGTATGACATCTGGTGGTAGCATCTGGAAAGTGCAAGTATGGTGCTAGTAGTAAGTGAACAGAACATAATAATAAGCGGAAAGGGAATCCTCCTCACTGAGATCTAGTAACTTGAGATTTCAATCTTTCTTAAATTTCTCTCAGAGGAAGAACTAGGTTCACACAGTTTACTCTATTACAGGGACAATGGGGTGACTAGTACACATGGCAAGGACATATGCTTATAGATACAGTATACACTGATGAAAAAGGTGTCCCACTGAAAGGATGTTTTCATAAAACAGATTTTAAGGTTGTGTAGCTTAACTACTGTTTCCACAAGATAAAAAATATCCATGAGTTTGAGAGACCAGAAATGATTTGAAGACATAAATGTATGCCTACTATTTGTGACGTTGTCATATCCAAGAAATCCAGAATTAAGTAAGACACAAGCATGAGGCTTTAGGAAGCAGCTGTACTAGAAAAGGAATCAGTAGCCCCCTAATACCACTGGAGACCCTGGGATCCCCAAACCTGAGACCATGTGCCAAGGCAAACACTGGTAGCCCTTGAGCTTAGCTCTGGCAGCACACTATTCCTGAAGAGTTCCATAGCCCTAAGAACTGGTGCATCAATGGCAACAGCTTGCTCAGCTCTTGGAGAGATGGAGGAGTGTATGGCTTCAAGTCAGGATGGAAAAAGGTAAAGCCTAGGAGGGGGTAATCGAACCCCCCCCAAAATACAAGGCTTCCATTGAGCCCCCAAGTTTGTTGAATCACATCACTCACTTGGAGGTCTCTTACACAGAGCAACATCCAGCCTGCCTTGCCACCTTGCATCTTCCTACTGTTGGCTAGAACACAATGGACACCGAATCAGAGAAGATGTGCATGCAGGCTGCCTCCAAGCATCTCTGGTGCCTGTTTGCTATTGAGGGTGGAGTTGCTAGGTGTACCCAATTCCTTCCCAGGTTTAGCCATTGTGAGATTCTGGTAAATCTATACAGAAGGTTGAAGTCTTCTCACCCTTTCAACCATATGTTTAGTGAATGTGCAGAGGCACTAGGAGTCTTTGGTGGTTGACACCCTGCCAAACCTGTCCACAAGAGTGCCCCTTTGTGTGATAGCTGAAGGGTAAGAATGGATTCTTCACATACAGAATGGTATACTCATAAGCCTTGGCTTCATAATTAGAAACTTTGGTGCACTCATGGTTCTAGAGCATCATCTATGTCCTACCATGCAATCTACGTGCATGATGCCCATGGATGGGAGAGACATGCTGTGATTATTATCAGCAGGCCTGATTCATTCAAGCCTATTATTATTTTCAGTGAGTCAAAAAACAAAAAAACCCACCCCAGACTTCAGAAATTTCTTGTGAATAAACTTCCAGCATTACTGGTATATCTATGTTATATTGGCCCATTCTCACCTTCAGCCAAATATAGATGCTTCACATTCATACACTCATTAAAATACTGTACAGTATATAGGTTCGATTTGATTCAAACATTACCTTGGACAAGTGACTTTTGGGGGGGCCAGGAACTACAGTGCTAATGGCTTTTGGAAGCTGGAGTCAAAAAATGTAACTTGTCCAAACTTTGCCTTTCCCATAAAGATCCATGCAGCATTACCCAAGGCATGCCAAGAATTACCTTGTTTAGATTGCTTCTGGTTCCGGCGTCTGACAATAAAGATGACCAGCAGAACTAACAAGATGGAGAGCAGCGCTGCAGGGACGCCAAACATCACAGCCGGATGCAAGCCTGCTGATTGCATATCAGTGGGTTCTGTAGTGGTGGTGCTTCCCACTTCAGAACCCTCTGCTTCTGCTAATGAGGTGTCAGCGTCCTGTCCATCTTGATCGCTAGTTGTCAAAAATGCAACGGAAGAGGTAAGTCCCAATGTGGCCATGGTAGTAGATGGCAATGGACCATCCCCGGAACTTGCTTCTTCTGCCATTGTTGTAGATGAGCCTGTCAAATGAGGAGAAACAATAGCTACTTGTCACTTTTACTTAGGGGACTGAAAGTAAAAATCAGTTGTTACACATGTAATTTCAAAAATTGGTATTTTATTTTGGACTCTCCATCTTCTTCTTTGGTCATTTAGCTTCTCTTTCTTCTCTTCTTTTCATCCTGCACAAACAAGAGAACAGACAACAACTATCGGATCCCGTCTGTGAAAGCCTTTGAGAATACAAGAGATGGTCTCTCCCAACGATCTCCTATGCTGGAGAGAGCAGAAGTGTAAACTGAGCATGGAGGGAGAATTACTGTAGCCAAGCAAACATTTCTAATGTCTGATTCTCTTTCTATTAGCAACACTTCCCTCCTCAGGTGTACAACTTACCAAAGTTCAAATGGACTGGACAATGAGTCTCTGTTTCATGCGGATGACCTATTCAATGCATTTTAGTTCGTCTATTAGTGTTAGTGTTAGTGGTAGTGTTAGTGGTAGTGGTAGTGGTAGTGGTAGTAGTAATAGTAGTAGTAGTAGTAGTAGTAGTAGTAGTAGTAGTAGTAGTAGTAGTAGTAGTAGTAGTAGTAGTAGTAGTAGTAGTAGTAGTAGTAGTAGTAGTAGTAGTAGTAGTAGTAGTAGTAGTAGTAGTAGTAGTAGTAGTAGTAGTAGTAGTAGTAGTAGTAGTAGTAGTAGTAGTAGTAGTAGTAGTAGTAGTAGTAGTAGTAGTAGTAGTAGTAGTAGTAGTAGTAGTAGTAGTAGTAGTAGTAGTAGTAGTAGTAGTAGTAGTAGTAGTAGTAGTAGTAGTAGTAGTAGTAGTAGTAGTAGTAGTAGTAGTAGTAGTAGTAGTAGTAGTAGTAGTAGTAGTAGTAGTAGTAGTAGTAGTAGTAGTAGTAGTAGTAGTAGTAGTAGTAGTAGTAGTAGTAGTAGTAGTAGTAGTAGTAGTAGTAGTAGTAGTAGTAGTAGTAGTAGTAGTAGTAGTAGTAGTAGTAGTAGTAGTAGTAGTAGTAGTAGTAGTAGTAAACTCCAGCCAAAGTCAAAATTATAAAAACATTGACTGGTATTATATAACAGAGTTTTAACCAAAAACCTAAGTATCTGTTAAATATCGGCTCAGTATGTATGCTGTTCCTAATATTGCTTTTTTTTGTAGCTCTGATGGTATGATTTCTGATATCTGCAACAGACTATAGTACTGTGTGAAATTTCTTGATATTGTTCCCAAAGCCCCAGTGACTACAGGGACCACTGAAGTGTTTCGATTGCCAGGTCTCTGTACTTTGTTAGTTTTTCCAGTTCTTTATTTTCAACTCTGGCATCTCCTAGAATTGCAATGTCAATGATCTGGGCATTTCTTCATTCTGTTACTACTGTGTCTGGTGTGTTATGTTCAAAGTGTCAATCCATTATGATGATGATGATGATGATGATGATGATGATGATGATGATGATGATGATGATGATTGATGTCCACAACAGCAAATGAACACATGGGGATCATTCATCCATTTTGCCATTTCTTCTTTAGACAAGCATGGATATTGGAGCACACCAAAGAATTTTAGGAGAGCAGGCTGAGCTTTACAGACTACAGCAAAGCCTTTGACTATGTGACTCATCAAAAGCTATGAATTGTTTTGAAATAAATAGGCGTGTCTCAGCACTTGATTGTCCTGATGTGTAACCTGCATTGTAGACAAGTAGGTACGATTTGGACAGAATATGGAGAGACAGAATTGTTTCCTATAGGCAAAGGTGTCAGACCTGGCTGCATTTTATCTCCCTGTCAAACCTTTATGCAGAACATATACTGAAAGCTGGACTAGATTCAGAAGTCAATGGAGTAAATATTGGTGGAAGAAACAAATACTTTAAGATGTGCAGGTGACATCATCTTAACAGCAAAAAGCAACAATGACTTCAAACAATTTTTTGAGAAAGTAGAAGAAGAAATGCCAAAGCAGGATTGTAGCTGAATGTTAAGAAGACAAAAAGTACAACGATTGAAAAACTAAAAAACATTGCTGTTGACAATGACGAAATTTTGTATTCCTTGGTTTAGTCATAAATCATAATGGGGACTGCAACCAAAAAATCAGAAGAAGACTGAAACTTGAAAAAGCAGCAAAAAAAGATCATCAAATTTAAGAATGTCACTGGAGACCAAGGCCAAGATAATTCATACTCTTATATTCCCAATTACTATATACAGGTGCAAAAGCCCGAAAGTGGGAAAAAAATATGATAGGATGAAAATTGATTCATTTGAAACATGGTGTCAGAGGAGAGCTGTCTTACTATGTTCACATATTAAGATGGAAGGGCTCTCGGGAAAAGGCAATAATGCTGGGAAATGTCGAGGGCAGTAGGAAAAGAGGAAGACCAAACATGGGGCAGTAGGAAGAGAGGAAGACCAAACATGAGATGAATTGACTCTCTAAAGGAAGCCACAGGCTTGAGTTTGCAAGAGCTGAGCAGGGCTGTTGAGGACAGGACATCTAGAGAATGCTAATTCACTGGTTCTTTACCTTTGTTACTCAGATGTTTTTGGACTGCAACTCCCAGAAGGCTTCACCATCAGCTCTGCTGGCTGGGGTTTCTGGGAGTTGCAGTTCAAAAACACCTGAGTAACAAAGGTTAAGAACCACTGTGCTAATTCATAGGGTTACCGTAAGTTGGAGGCAACTTGACAGCACATAGCAGCAGCAGCAATAGCAATCCACATATAACTTACATAAACTAGATTTGTTTGAAACTACTCAAGACAAAGATCTTGAGTCACAGTGGAGGACCTTGGGATAAATCAGCTATCTTGCTGAATAGGAGGCAACCCTTTCTTCTCTGCTCACATGTATTGTCCAAGAAAGAACACTGATAATAGATAATTCTCTCCCAAGTATCAAATTCAGAAGGCATTCCGAAAGCTTGATGTTATGGTTGGCAGGATGTAAATATTTGTTCCTGCCTTCAAGAGCAGCACATACTTCAGACACTTTATAAATTAATTGCTCCCAAAATAACTTCAGTCTAAGCCATTTCATTCTCCCAGTTGTGCTGCCAGACTGCTAGGCAGGGGTCGGGGAGGAAAGATAAAAATAAGCAACAGTTGGCTGCTGCTGTAGATCCATAAAGATCTCAGAAGTCTGCCATCTACGTGCCTCTTGCTAGTACCTTCCCCCCTCTGTGCTTGACAGTGACATCATCATGTCAAATGAGGTCACAAAGATGTGTGAAAAAAGCAATTTAACAGTGACTGCATTATAGATAACACTGGGGGAGAAATCAGACTTATTAGTATTCAATAGAATTCCATGGTAGCTTAAATGCCCAGGGACCAGGATGAGGGAATGTATGGTAGTCTAGATGTTGGATGTCAAGCAGCATCATGATGGATGATAGGTGTGGCCTACCAACACTTGGATGGCCACATCTTCCTCATCCTTGCTTGGGCAGAAATCACAGATTATCCGGTGCTTTCTGAAAATAGGTACAAAACTGCCTGTTTCGCATGTCTTCCTTTAATTCAAATCCTTGCAGGATGTGGAGCAGTAGTTGTCAGCTCACCAGCCAGCCAGCACTCAAGGGCTTCCTGCCACTATTGACAATGCTGGGGTCCAGGAAGTGGGGAACAAGGAGCCACTGGAGTTGCCCACCCCCAGAAAAAGCAACATTGACAGCTGGCCAGTGCCAAGGGGTCCAAGGAGCCTTGCTGGCACTGGCTGGCCAACGACACTGTTCTCTCCTGAGAGGCAGCTCCAGCATCTGTGGGTTTTTTGCTGCATGTTAAGCCCCAGTGTCAAAAGTAGCTGGGAAGCCCCACAAGAACTGGCCAGCCCAGACGGAAGCTCTGGTGATATTTAAAAAGGGGACCAATGCCCACTTTTAAAAACCACACCAGAGCTTGTGTCATGTGAGTTTCTGTAAAGTGACTTCAATCCTTTCAGAAAGTGTACTTGTGGTCTGAGTGGGATACAAGTGTAAGTCATTCTCTTTCCAAATCTTTAGGGCAGGGATCTCAAACATGCGGCCCGGAGGCCATTTGTGGCCCGCTGGATGATAGTTTGCGGTTCCGCCTTGCCTGCCCCCCTGAAGTGCCCACATGTCCTCTGCTGTCAAGAGTACAAAAAAAAAAGCCTCGCCTCGCTCACCGGCTGCAGTTCCAGATGGAGGGTGCAAGAAGCACTGTCTTGGGGGAGAGCCGGCAAGCGAGGTGCGCTGCCAGCCCTTTCCCTCAAGACCCTGAGCTGCTGCTGAGCGATGCCTGAGGGCGGAGCTCACTCCCAGCCTGTCCTCAAAGAACGCCTCCAACAGCACCGCCAACAGCCGCCGCCGCCGCCACCTCTTCCAGGGAAGTGGCTCTCTGGCTCTTTTTTATCTCTCGGCACCCCCAGCACCAGCTCGGCCAGCGGCTACCTCAGCACCCAGCGGTGCTTCCTCTTTCTATTCCTACTCCTCCTTGGAGCCCCAGCCAGGCTAAGGAAACTCCTGGGCGGCTTCCTTGGGCTCTTGCTCCACTTGGTGGAAAATCTGATGCAGCTCAGCCTCACCCAGCCTTTGCCTCCAGCGGCCCCCCAGGTAAATTGAGTTTGAGACCCCTGCTTTAGGGAAACTGGATATGGTGTATTAAAGTGACATCAAGGAAGAATATACTGTATAGCGCTGGCACAGTAGGGGGAAGATCCCAAGCCAGCCTACTCCAATCTGGCACCTTCCAGAGGTGTTCCAGGACAGGGTCCCACCAACCTCTTCAGTATATGGTGTTGACTGTGAAAGATGAGATTTGCAGCCTGACAATCTGAAGGAGGCTAGGATGGGGAAGGGTGGGCTGGACCTTGGGAGTGTGTTGATAATGCACGGGCCACACTAATTATGATCATGTTAATGGATTGAAAGGAAAAGAACAGTTTCTTCAAAATAAGAACTATCCCCATGCTGGGAGTTACCTATAATAGGAAAGCATGCAACAGTGAAAGCCAGGAAGGTGGGAGTGGTAGGTAAGTAAGCAAATGCCTTTCTC